GAACCCTTACACACCCACGTGTACCCTCACACACATATGTGTACCCTCACACACAGAGATACATCCCAACATAAAAATACTGCATAGAGTGAATTTTAAAACATCTATACACTTGAGAATATTGTCCCAGCATTGATAGTTTACTGTCTTCTGCTTCTGTTCATGCTCTGGAAACTTCTGTTCATGCTCTGGAAACTTCTGTTCATGCTCTGGAAACTTCTGTTCATGCTCTGGAAACTTCTGTTCATGCTCTGGAAACTTCTGTTCATGCTCTGGAAACTTCTGTTCATGCTCTGGAAACTTCTGTTCATGCTTTGGAAACTTCTGTTCATGCTCTGGAAATTTCTGTTCATGCTCTGGAAGGAGCAATCATCTTCTCAGACATTTCCATTACTGCAATTTTGGCTTCTCTGGCCTTCATGTTTTGTTGTTTCCTGAAAAGATAAGAGTAGGATGTGGTGGAAATGTATATCTGTCTGGTTCTAGAATGTTCTCATATGCAGCAGAAACATGGAGACAGATAAAAACAATTACTACTAAACTAAAAAAAAGTCATGCCTATTCATGATTAAATATGCAGTTCTGGGAGAGAGCTAAACAAATTCAAAAGACTATCAGAACTTCAGGTCAAAGGAGGTGTTGCCAAACATGAACAATATACAGGCAGTAAAAGAAGAATAGTAAACCAACACAGAACTGGTGTTATCAGTCGTCACACGCTGAAGGAGATACTGAAGATGGGATCCGAGCGCTTAAGGACTTGTCACATGTGCAATGAGGATAATATTTCAATTATGTAACTAACTAACCAACTAACTAACTAACCAACTAACTTAACTAATTTAACTAACTAACTTAACTAATTTAACTAACCAACCAAACTAACTAACTTAACTAATTTAACTAACCAACTAACTAACCAACTAACTTAACTAATTTAACTAACCAACTAACTAACCAACTAACTTAACTAATTTAACTAACTAACTAACTAACTTAACTAATTTAACTAACTAACTTAACTAATTTAACTAACCAACCAAACTAACTAACTTGACTAATTTAACTAACCAACTAACTAACCAACTAACTTAACTAATTTAACTAACTAACTAACTTAACTAATTTAACTAACTAACTAACTTAACTAATTTAACTAACCAACCAAACTAACTAACTAACTAACTTAACTAATTTAACTAACTAACTAACCAACTAACTAACCAACTAACTTAACTAATTTAACTAACCAACCAAACTAACTAACTAACTAATTTAACTAACCAACCAACTAACTAACCAACTAACTTAACTAATTTAACTAACTAACTAACTAATTTAACTAACCAACCAACTAACTAACCAACCAAACTAACTAACTAAGTTAACTAATTTAACTAACTAACTTAACTAATTAAACTAACTAACTAACTAACTAACTAACTAACTAACTAACTAACTAATCAACTAACTAACTAACTAAACTAACTTAACTAACTAACTAAACTAACTACCAGACTAACTAAACAACTTCCAGTGAATTAAGAGGTGAAGAAAAGATGCTAACTGGATAGGAAACAGGCAGAAAACCAGTTGCCTGGTGCCCAAGCTCAGTTGGTTAAACCAGCTGTGCAGCGACCGGGTGGAAAAACTCATTGTGGTCTGAGTCTATCTCTGGGTAGGCAAAAAAGACACCTATTTCCCAGATTTACGGTATCGTGGAATCAAAGCCGAAGGGTTGCAATATCCATAGTACCGAGCCAAAGGGTTTACAACTCATGGTTTCTGGATCAAAGAAAAAAATAGTAACAAGAAAAGATAAGAACAGGATGTAGTGGAAACGTACATCTATCTAGTTCCAGAATGTTCTCTGTGTGTAGCAGAAATATGATGACAGATAAAAACAATTATTAAAAATTTTTAAAAAACTTCATTAACTGATCCTTGTTCATTATACAATTAATTAAAGACAGAGCTAGGGGAGACAACTAAACACATTCCTGTGAATTAAGAGGTGAAGACAAGATGCTAGCACTGGATAGGACACAGGCTGAGAGCTAGATAACTAGAAAGCCTGTATACTGGAACCCACAGGGGCGCATAAATAAAAGAAGATAAAAAACACAAGAAGGGAGTGAAGATCGAGGAGGACATATGATAAGTTGCATTACCCACCTAGTGTCCACAGGTCTATCCAACATAGGTCTAGCACTATATGCCCAATAAGTCTGAAGGTGTACAAAAGTCATTCAGTGTGCCTGACTTTTAAATGTTATGAGTACACAACAGATGACTCCTACCTCTTGAGGACCCGCAGAGTAACCAGAACAACAACGCAGGATACAAACATCAAGGAACACACTATCCCAGCATACGCTCCAGGGGACAAGCCCAACAGTAACCCGCTATCCGAGGCATAGTAGCGGACAGCATCTTCTTGCACTCCTGTTGAGGTCGAGAAACATTTATTCATCATCCCAATGTGGGTTCTGGAGCCCCTTTGGAAAAGGGAGGGGGGTGGTGGGAGGTAAGTTCAGAGTCACCAACTAGCACGTCGTTTGTGAAAACAGATGCTCTATGCTCAAAGGTGCAGATACTGAAGCCTAGCTGTAGACCACAATACAACATGCAAACTGCCCTTTTAAAGGTTATTTTAACTATTAAGGTAATGGAAATGATGGTGATGAATTTGTTTCTGTAGGCAAGGGAGGGGGAACAAAAAGTGAAATCTCAACATAAACAGTTTGAGGGGACTGCATTAGCTATGCAGTTTTAAATCCCAGTCTAAATATCCCAGAGTCCAGATCAGCCCAGCTGAGACTAGCTAAAGCTTTAACAATAAAAATGAACAATTCCCCCTTATGTAAAAAAAAAAAAATGTTTAGTATAAATTTTAAAGTGACCCTGGTAAGTCAAGCGACTACCAAGAACTTCTGGTGATAAGACTAGCAATGTAAGAAAGACTATGCGTATTACATCAAAATTATCTCAGTTTTTCTGCTTTATTAAATGTTGAGGTAACTCGGTAGCAATGTAGCAGATAAGATGTAGCAAAATACGCTTGGCAATAAATTGTTTGTGTCGACATTATTTAGATAGTTTTGATAATCACTTTCTTCTGTTGTGAATGTTAGTAAAGGAACTTTGTCATGCCACAAATGAACGAATGAACAAACTTTTATTTTGAAAGGGTTAAGAATTGGGACACAGGCCCGTCTCACATTCTGCCCTCACTCCATTCCCGTACCAGATTATTTTAGCAGATTGTAATAATAATAAAATAATAAACATCATAAACCACAAGAACATAAGGCAAATGGTGACTATGAGACTAAGATAGCCGTGGCTGACAGTGACTTGCACAAGGATTTGGATATAAGTTAGGAAGAGTTGTGCAATTCATCCACCTCACTCTCTCGCCGGTGTCCATCTTGATCCAATGGCAGGACAATGTCGAGACAATTGTAAATGGGCCTAGGTGCAGTAGATTACCAAGGTGTATTAAGTGCCCTGTTTGCTTGAAGCTGTCCACATAGCCTGCTAGTAATTGCCTTTTTGTCTGTTGAACCATAAGAGGTTTTGTCCGTGAGACTGACATACCAGTTTGAGACTGACATACCAGTTTGAGACTGACATACCAGTATGAGACTAACATACCAGTAAGTATGAGACTGACATACCAGTATGAGACTGACATACCAGTATGAGACTGACATACCAGTATGAGACTGACATACCAGTTTGAGACTGACATACCAGTAAGTATGAGACTGACATACCAGTATGAGACTGACATACCAGTATAAGACTGACATATCAGTATGAGACTGACATACCAGTATGAAACTGACATACCAGTAAGAGACTGACATACCAGTTTGAGACTGACATACCAGTATGAGACTGACATACCAGTATGAGACTGAAATACCAGTATGAGACTCACATACCAGTAAGAGACTGAAATACCAGTAAGAGACTGACATACCAGTATGAGACTGACATAGCAGTATGAGACTGAAATACCAGTATGAGACTGACATACCAGTATGAGACTGACATACCAGTATGAGACTGACATACCAGTATGAGACTGACATACCAGTATGAGACTGACATACCAGTATGAGACTGACATACCAGTATGAGACTGACATACCAGTATGAGACTGACCTACAAGTTTGAGACTGACATACCAGTTTGAGACTGACATACCAGTATGAGACTCACATACCAGTATGAGACTGACATACCAGTATGAGACTGACATACCAGTAAGTATGAGACTGACATACCAGTATGAGACTGACATACCAGTATGAGACTGACATACCAGTATGAGACTGACATACCAGTATGAGACTGACATAAAGCAGCGGTGAGCTTTGAACCTGATATGAATCACCCAATATATTTTTTTTAGGCCTGTGGAATGAAATTCAGTTAATTCCTAAGTTCATGTTTTTTGATTACTTCTTCTTTTTCTTTGCATTCACCAGCTGTAAACTCTGGCGGAAAGTTATGGTTGTTCATCCACTTCTGGACTGCAGTCCTGTTCCAGAACCTAAGTGTTGTCTGTGCATCAGTTTTTTTTTTTAGATCTGACTCATTTATATGCAGAGTGCTGGTTCCTTGCCTCTCAGGCAGATGCAGCTCCCCATCAGTAGACTTGCCCTAGTGTGTGTGTGTGTGCACGTGTGTGTGTGTGCATGAGTTCCTGCGTGTGTGTGTCTCTCTCTCTCTCTCTCTCTCTCTCTCTCTATATATATATATATATATATATATATATATATATATATATATATATATATATATATATATAATATATAAAACATTTTGTTAGTGACCAGTAGTTTATTTGAGGATGATTTTCTAGGAATTCCTTAATCTATGACCCATGGATCTGCAGAGTTGCCGGGGTGAAAGGGTTAACTAACCATAGACTCATTATACTTCAAGGCATAACACATAGCCCTTGTTGTTTACCTGGTATCCTTACACATGTGATGTTGTTGATAGGATCCAGGCGGTAGCCATGGCAACATTCGCTGACAATTTTGTACTGCACCACCGTATGGTTGCGCTCTTTATGGCAGGGCACCATTCTGAAAAGAACAGATAGAGAAGATTGTAGATGAAAGACAGAGAAGATTGTAGATGAAAGACAGAGAAGATTGTTGAAGAAAGATAGGGAAGATTGTTGATGAAAGACCTGTAAACCCTCCCCATGTGGGTTCTGGGGCTAAAATCTTTGAATTTTGTGTGTGTGGGAAAAGATGCCCACATAAAGAGTGTTTGTTGTCAAAGGTGACTTCTTCCTCTTCTTTGATCATTCTGTGAGAAAACCATACATCAGGAGGCCTATAGCCTTGACGCAGAGGTTTTTCAACATTCCAAACGCCGCAACCCTTTAATACAGTATCTCCTGTTGTGGTAACGTCCAAACATAACATTATTCTCCTTGCTACATCATAACTTCAGTGAATATGTTTTTTTCAATGGTCTGACTACGGCTGGCCTTTCTGCAACAAGCCTTTGACCTTAACTGGGGCTTATTATGGGGATAGGGTTTATATTAAAAGCCCCCTTCCTAAACAATCCCATTAAGGTTTTTCTTTTCTTTTTCGTAGGTATTAATTTCATGGAAACGCTGTGTTGTAAACTGAGAGAACGTATTACTGACAAATAGACTGAGCGAGAACTGAATAATGCCCAGTAAAGTGAGAACTGAATAATGCCAAATAAAGTGAGAACTCAATAATGCCAAGTAAAGTGAGAACTCAATAATGCCAAGTAAAGTGAGAACTCAATAATGCCAAGTAAAGTGAGAACTGAATAATGCCAAGTAAAGTGAGAACTGAATAATGCCAAGTAAAGTGAGAACTCAATAATGCCAAGTAAAGTGAGAACTGTATAATGCCAAGTAAAGTGAGCACTCAATAATGCCAAGTAAAGTGAGAACTGTATAATGCCAAGTAAAGTGAGAAGTCAATAATGCCAAGTAAAGTGAGCACTCAATAATGCCAAGTAAAGTGAGAACTGTATAATGCCAAGTTAAGTGAGAACTCAATAATGCCAAGTAAAGTGAGCACTCAATAATGCCAAGTAAAGTGAGAACTGTATAATGCCAAGTAAAGTGAGCACTCAATAATGCCAAGTAAAGTGAGAACTGTATAATGCCAAGTAAAGTGAGCACTCAATAATGCCAAGTAAAGTGAGAACTGAATAATGCCAAGTAAAGTGAGAACTCAATAATGCCAAGTAAAGTGAGAACTGAATAATGCCAAGTAAAGTGAGAACTCAATAATGCCAAGTAAAGTGAGAACTGTATAATGCCAAGTAAAGTGAGCACTCAATAATGCCAAGTAAAGTGAGAACTGTATAATGCCAAGTAAAGTGAGAAGTCAATAATGCCAAGTAAAGTGAGCACTCAATAATGCCAAGTAAAGTGAGAACTGTATAATGCCAAGTTAAGTGAGAACTCAATAATGCCAAGTAAAGTGAGCACTCAATAATGCCAAGTAAAGTGAGAACTGTATAATGCCAAGTAAAGTGAGCACTCAATAATGCCAAGTAAAGTGAGAACTGTATAATGCCAAGTAAAGTGAGCACTCAATAATGCCAAGTAAAGTGAGAACTGTATAATGCCAAGTTAAGTGAGAACTGAATAATGCCCAGTAAAGTGAGAACTGAATAATGCCAAATAAAGTGAGAACTCAATAATGCCAAATAAAGTGAGAACTCAATAATGCCAAGTAAAGTGAGAACTCAATAATGCCAAGTTAAGTGAGAACTGAATAATGCCAAGTAAAGTGAGCACTCAATAATGCCAAGTAAAGTGAGAACTGAATAATGCCAAATAAAGTGAGAACTCAATAATGCCAAGTTAAGTGAGAACTGAATAATGCCAAGTAAAGTGAGCACTCAATAATGCCAAGTAAAGTGAGAACTCAATAATGCCAAATAAAGTGAGAACTTACTCATAATAAGTGCACAGAGAGCTAGAAAACCATCCACACTTGGCCTGGTATTTCTGTGTACACTCTCCCATCTCCAGATCTTGGCGGACAGTCTTCTCCTCCTTCAGCTTGGTGCACCATCTACAACTGTTCATAGATTCATGGTAAATTCATGTTATCTAGGTGGCTATTTGGATGGTGGGTTGGATGGTGTGTGGTTGTGTTCACTGGTTGGGTTGGTGGTTGGTTGTCTGGATGGTTAGATGTAGAGTAGCCTGGGTGTGTGGCTGGTTGTTTGGGTGCCTGGTTGGGTTGGTGGTTGGTTGTCTGGATGGTTAGATGTACAGTTGCCTGGGTGTGTGGTTGGTTGTTTGGGTGCCTGGTTGGGTTGGTGGTTGGTTGTCTGGATGGTTAGATGTACAGTAGCCTGGGTGTGTGGCTGGTTGTTTGGGTGCCTGGTTGGGTTGGTGGTTGGTTGTCTGGATGGTTAGATGTACAGTTGCCTGGGTGTGTGGCTGGTTGTTTGGGTGCCTGGTTGGGTGTGTGGTTGGTTGTCTGGATGGTTAGATGTACAGTTGCCTGGGTGTGTGGCTGGTTGTTTGGGTGCCTGGTTGGGTGTGTGGTTGGTTGTCTGGATGGTTAGATGTACAGTTGCCTGGGTGTGTGGTTGGTTGTTTGGGTGCCTGGTTGGGTGTGTGGGTGTGACTTTGGTTGTTTGGGTGATTAGTTGGGTGTGTGGCTGGTTGTGTGGTAGGTTGTTTGGGTGGTTTGTTGAGTTTGTAGGTGACTGGTTGGGTGTGTAAGTGTCCCCATGGCTGGGTGTGTGGTTGGTTGTTCGGTTGATAAGTTGGGTGTGGTTGGTTGTGTGTCTGGGTTTTTGGTCGGGTGCGTGGATGGCTGCATGGGCCACATATGGTCTCTCCAATACTGTCAAGACCTTATGCTATGTGGGATGTCATGGACCATGTTGCATGAAGGGAAAATAGGGTACACAGATACAGAAGAACATGACTGCAGACAGGTTTGGAGCTTAGCGTCTGAGAAGAAGCGTGCTGAATATATGACATGTCAACAGTGATACTGAAATCCTATTCTTTAATTTCGGAAGACTTTTCCTAATGTCAGCAGGCCTAGCTAGTCACACTCATTATCACTGTGGGATATGATTCCCTTGTCTTCAATATAGCATAATATAATACTATCATCTGAAATGATGAAAAAGTGCCAACAAAACAAATTCGGTAAAAGAATACTGAATTTCGATTCCTGTATATGAGGGCATCTTTTCCCACACACACAAAATAAAAAAAATGTGAGCCCTAGAACCCACAAGGGGAGGGCTTACAAGTCTTTCATCAACAATCTTCTCTATCTTTTGTCAACAATCTTCTCTATCTTTTGTCAACAATCTTCTCTATCTTTCATCTACAATCTTCTCTATCTTTCATCTACAATCTTCTCTATCTGTTCTTTTCAGATTAATTACATCAAGAATTAATTCATTTAAGATCCCGTTGTGTCAGTTTTTGTCCCATAGAGCTCGCAGTTCAGTCTTGTGCAATCAGTTCAGTCTTGTGCAATCAGTTCAGTCTTGTGCAATCAGTTCAGTCTTGTGCAATCAGTTCAGTCTTGTGCAATCAGTTCAGCGTCATAGATAGAATGCAGTCCAGAAACTTTGGCCTTGCTCGCCATCATTTGTTTTAGGTTTTTTTTGGGGGGGGGGGGGGGGGGGGGGGGGGTCTTCATTTCATCAATCCCTTTATTTCACATTTATGTGCCTGTTTGGTGATTCTCTGCTCGCTTCTTCTCAGGATGTGTCCAGTATAGTGCCACTTTCTTTGTCTTTTAACTGTCGTTACCTGTGGTTGCCCAGACATTTCTCTTATTTTGTCACCCCTCTTGAATGCATCCCAATTATTTTCAACATTTTTTCTCAGATATTTGTTTTCAAATGAACTTAACTCTCATTTATGTCTTTGGTGATTCTCCAACTTTCATTTCTTGTTCTGCTGCCTTCTAACCCCCATTGGAGCTTAAGCCCTCAACCAACTCACACCAAGTCATTCTATAGTTTGATACTACATGCAGCTCACTCTATGTCCTCTCCATGAGTTTAACTTAACTCTCAAGCTCAATTCACATTGGGGGGGGGGGGGGGGGGTTCTGCCTTTTTTTCTATGCCCCTGTGGGTTCCAATGCAAAGATATTTAGTTATACTGTTCTCATATATTTTTTTTTTTTGGGGGGGGGGGGGGGGGGGGGGGGGAGGGGGTCTGCCTTTACTTCTATATGGGTTCCAATGCAAAGACATTTAGTTATACTGTTCTCAGATATTTTTTGGGGTGAAAAAAAGCACACAAAACTGTCTTATTACCTGACGCAGCTAAACAATTGGAGAATGAGGAAAAACTGTAAACATGTTCGGATGGAAGACATCTTTGATAGTTTAATTTCATCAGTTGTGCACAAGACAAGTCACTTCAAGTATCATGCTGCGGCTGTGGTCAGATGCTTGAGCTCGGCTTTAATCTGAAAAATAAAGATGGATATAAATGTGTCGACACTCTAAGAAGTAGGTGGCTCAGGCGTTTGGACAAAGGTATCATAATCATGGGATTTTGGTTTAAATATACTATTCACTGGGTGGCTTCCAGGGTTCTAATTGGGGGAGGGGGGGGGGGAGCAAACCCCTTGCCACCCTAAAAAGCATGTAGTATAAGGCAACTAATTAGGGGTGTTTACTTTTTTTTTCAGACTGCAGCTGCCTGAGAGGAAAGCAACCAACAGTCTGCATACAAATAAGCCAGTTCTCTAAAACAGATGTTTACACAAGAACTGGAACAAGAACAAAGTCCAGAAGTGGAATGAACAACCAGAACTTTCCTCTGAAGTTTACAGCTGGAAAAACTGTTATGAGTAAAGAACCAACATCACAGCACTCTGGACATTCACATAAGCACACTGTCCACATCTTCAGCAGCAAACACACAGTTCCAGTATTACCAGTAACAGTCTGATTGTATGTTCAACTCGCCTATTCTCTGAGTGTTGAGCATCAGCAAGATGCCCTGGTTTACACTTTCAAAAGTTTATAATACTAAACCTTCAATCAATGACAATACACTGGAATTTTTCTTGCTTAAACTCTTATCTGGATAACAGGAATTTCTGATAAGAAGAACTATGTCTTATATTCCTCTGTGAAGTCTCCTTATCAGGTTTGCACTATAGCTGTTATTCATTCTAAGGTACCGAAAACTATTTATTTAAAGTGTATTACAGCGGCAAGTAATGGATGTAATCAACTATTTGTTTTTTATTCTTCTTTTCCCTATACCAGGAATGCCTTGCAGAATCAGGGCAGGAACAGATCTTTGGAACGGGCCTTTTTTTTTTTTGTGTGCATAAAGTACTTTTCAGTATCTCTGATATTTCTGCGCTCCACTTCCTACAAGGTCGACCTCTGGATCTGTTGCCGTTGTATCTGTATAACACTGCTCTCTGTGGTGCCCTGTCTGATGCCAATCTTGTAACATGGCCAAACCATTTGATTTGTTGTCTACCTATAAAATTACAGTTTTTATTCTGTGCACCCTCTCTCTCTGATATCATCATTCCTAAGCTGATCTTTCTTCCTTACGCCTAGCATAGTACGTAACCATGTCTTTTCTGACATGACTATTTTCCTTCTGTCTTTTGAAGACAGCGTCCCTGTTTGACATTGATGGCATAGCATTGTTAACATTATGCTGTTGAACAGTGTTCTTTTAGTGTTCATTTTCACATGCTTGCATTTATTTAAAATTGATGCCATTTGGCCTAAAACTTGATTGGCATTATTGCATCTTTGTTGGATTTCTTTATTGTTTGTTTATTTTCACATAATATTAATTAATAACGTTCTTTAATATTTAAAATTGTTTGTGTTTGAGGTTATGGTAACCCTAACCCAACACAAAATTTAGTATTACAGAATATTATTATCAGAATATAAACAGATGTTTGTGTCCCATGGGGTCCCAGTTCAAGTATTGCAAACACACAATACATTGCATCCCCTAGGTCGCTGCTTGAAGGATTGCCGAAAAGTCGAAGGCAAGAGAGCAGGAAGCGGACGATACAAGTGGGAGGACAGTCTAAGAACGTACTGTCAAGACAAGAGACAGAAATCGTTGGAGATCCATTGCAGCCAGCTTTCATTACAGAGACGGCACGTGATCGTGTGTGTAATCCACTTTTAGTAACATTTAAAATCATCTGGAATAATACTATTATTCTGTCCTACGATGTATTGTTATTAAGGTAATTAAGGTAATTTTAGTAACATTTAAAATCATCTGGAATAATACTATTATTCTGTCCTACGATGTATTGTTATTAAGGTTAATTAATATTAATAACACTTTAACATCTCAAACGCAAACCTTTGTTCAGTGATCTGTTAATTTACATTTAATTTCATCATCAACTGGAAAGAACAACAGCTATACAATAATTTATCTGACAAATTAAAGACTGATTAAGGGGGAGGTGGGTAACTTGAACTCAGTATTGCTCCAAAAATATTGCTTTAATCTATCTCAACTAACAGAGTTTATCTTTAAAAAACACCGCAGAGATGCGACGAGCTCCAACTTGTGGTGTCTGGTCTGATGTCGTCTCCAAGTGTTGCCAAAGTTCAGCTGGCAGAAGTGACACGCCCCGGAAATGAATCTTGTCTATCGGGACGTAAACGTTATTGTTGTTGTTATTCATTCATTCTTTTGCATTTCCCTCTGTGGACCTTGTGCTGCCATAACAGATTGTGTCGGAAAACCTTCCTATCATGAGCAAGATGTCCTGCGTTCTGATAACACCCATCTGGAGATCAGGTGCCACATCCTGCACCCAGGCGGAGCTTGGCCTTCCTCTTCCTCTCTTCCAGCAGATAAGTCTCCAAGTTATTGTTCTCTCCTTAGACTTCCATGATCTTTCAACGTGACCAAAATACTTCCCCTTCTTGTCTTGTTGTTTCTAGCCAACCCTCTTGTTGTATTCAGCTTCTTGAAGTATGGATGCATTTAGTTTTTCTTTCATTCTACCATTTAGATATTCTTAGAACCTTTCATGTAACATTTATATTCAAATGCATTTTATGCGCTGTTCCG